AAAGTAACTAAACTTTTATTAAAATTTCCAATCTTAGTTACTTTAGGAAAATATGAAAATGGTGCTAATCCATGAAATTACACTTTACACCTTGTTAAGTCGTTAGTGGAGTGTGTGGTTAATCGACACACTAATCTGGGACTGACAATGTGTGGCAAAGGGTAACTTGATGTTAATCATAGATCAATGGAGCATGTGTGGTTAACCGGCACATTGATTAGGTGATTTATGACATTGGGTGTACCAAGTTAATTTGCATGGTTATTCACACCTTATTTGTGATCCTCGGCATCCCAGTCACAAACTTGAAGGGCACAATCGATATTTAAACATGCCATTGAAAAATTTCAATGAATCTCAAAGATCTAGGAATTTCAATCCAATTAAAACTTAATAATCTATTTCGTTTTTCATGGTGGAAATTGGTAAATCGCCATTTACCAACCTTCAAATATTTTACAATTGGATTACGACATCCTTTTCGCAATTGTAGAATATTGTGTTGGGTCCTAGACTTAATATTTCATTTGGGTGTAATATTAAGGATTATCATCTAATCTTCTTTTATAGATGTCTATCCCAAGCAATGCTTCCAACCCAATCCCTTCAGGCTCTTTCTCCCTCATGAACCTGTGGGAGGGTCATTTTTGATGGTTCGAACTTCAATGACTGGATTCGAAACATCAGAATGGCTATTCGCTATGCGGACAAAGAATATGTCCTAGATAAAGAGCTCAAAGAGATTGATGTCACCACTGCTACTCCCGAAACTGTGATGGTATATATGAAACTGTGATGGTTGTAGATAACTTAGGAAATAATGTGTTGAATATTGATTCTTCCAATGATTTGGATAAGTCATGCTTGTGGCATTGTCATCTTGGACATGTCAACAAGAAGCGCATAGCCCAACTCCAAAAGGATGGAGTTTTGGAGTCATTCGACTTAAAGTCGGATAACACTTGCGAATCTTGTTTACTTGGAAAGATGACCAAGTCACCCTTCATTGGTACTTGTGAAAGGGGTGAAGGT